CCATTAAATAAATAAAAATCTCTAATAACCCTTTTTTTTTGTAATTGTTGGCCTTGATAAATGGAGTCTAAAATTTTCAAACATAATATCCTCCAACAACCATTATGTATGCCATTAGAGGCAAACAAAAGTACATATACTGATTGAGAAACTATGTGGATTTTATTTTCTATAATTGAAAAATAAAAAACAAAAGAATGTGCATACCTATTTTTGTAATTGCTGACCTTTTTTTGACAATAGATGAAGCATCGACCTAACTAGAGAGAAGGTTCCACTTATGCACAGATGAGAAAATAAAGTTCTTCTTTCGAATAACAATGTACAACAACTTATGCACAAAGTGTATTAACACAAATCAATGCACCACCCTTATTCACAATTATATTGTTGTTAGAAATTAAAGCTTTTGATCTTTTACATTGTCATGATGACACAACTTGTCTTTGACATATTGCGCTAAAGAATACTTAGGAAGTTATTGACAGTTTGACGCAACATAACCATAAATTTAAGTCTAATTTATGATGATTGACTTATCAAAATTGTTTTTTCTCTTTCTATATTTAAACTAATGGTTCAAATTTACATATCTAAATTTCCCGCTTAATTTTTAGTTAATCGTAAAGATCATATACTCTAAAAGCTCGTTCGGTAAAACTGAAATTAGCAGAATCGAGTTGTGCTGCTGAATTATGAAAAAAAATTGTGTGTAAAATATATGGAGTATTTTATCAGTAAAACAAGGAAAAAAAATATGTGGAAAATAGCTAAAATGTTAATCTACAATAATTTCAACCAATTCAATTATACAATTATCTTTGAACTTCCTTATTTGATTATTTTGGAACTCAGCGCGCGAAATTAAAAATTCTCTTTTTGGAGAAAAAATTGGTTCATAAGAATGATAAGCTAAAAAATAGGGTCACCAATCAGATTTTAAATCTCCCATCACAGTATACATAGTTTTAGAACTGCGTAAATCGTCCAATTGGCTTTCGAACTGAAAAAACCCTCGAACTCAAAACACACTCAAATAAGCCCGTGAACTATACAAAAATGATCAATTTTATAATCTAGTGGGTCACTTCCCAATTAACGGGTCATTTTCTTATGTGGCAATCCAGGTGGTATTTTTTAAATTTTTTTCCTTTTCTTTTTTCAATTTCTTTTTACTACTTCTTCTTTCTTTAGCTCACCCCACCCCTACCCCTTTCTTCTTCTTTAGCCTAGTCTGCCCTCCTCCTTCTCCATCTCCTTCCTTTACAGGAACCCCAAAAAGAGGCAACATTATTGAATCGCTCGAGAGCATCCTCTAATTTGTTCACCACCATTAAAAGCAATTTCATATAGCGATTAGGATTGTAGTCGTGACCTACTTTTGACGCAGATTCTATAGGACACGTAATTAATTAGAATTTTTTTTGAAAGGAGAAGATTTAATTAATATTAATAGTGAGAGGACCAAGAGACAAAACAATACAATAGCTCAAGGCTACACTGAGGTGAGACATAAAATTGATTAGCTTCTGAGGACCCGTCAAATTCGCTAACCCCGCATCATGGTAGACTAATCTAACAACATCGCTGGACTTGCTTGCAACTAAAATGACAAATAACTAAACAAGAATTCTATAAATAAAAACAACAAAATAATTGCATCCCGGTTTTACCAACCACCATGAAGGAAGAAAAGGTTTGCTTATCCACCTCCAAAGGAAGCATCCCGATTTTACCTCCCATTGGGAAGAGAGAAGAGGTTTGACCATCTCCCTCCAATGGAATCATCTCGTTTACTGGACATATCAGTATTTTATGCGGTGATGTTCTGGGAGCGCCGCCGCCTTGTCGTTTTTTGATCCCTTGTCATCCTTTCATAAGACTGATTTAAGATCTCAGAGAAAAGAAGCAACAGAATTCACAAACAAAAGCACAAACACATTCACAATTGGAATGAACCAAACCCTCGGCCAAAGAAACTAAAATGAGTAGAAGATTGGTTAGAAGAGAAATCACAAGCGATGAGAAAACTTGAAAGGAGATCGCCAAAACTAGCCCATATACTATCCATGTTTGCTGCGAAGATGGAAGAAGAGGAGACAGACGTCCGCCGCACTCTATGGCTCATGCACCAATGATCACCGCACTCGAGGTTTTGTTATAATTAATTAGAAATATAAAACATGCATTTTCAAAAACAGCTATGGGAACTGAAATTGATTTTAAAACCTGAAAGAAATTGACATTTTTAAAGCAACAGAGCTCGTGGATGAAGAAGGAGATGGGGCAGGCCGAAGAAGAAGAAGGAAGGGAGCACTATCAGACTGGGTTGAAAAATAAGAAAAGGGAAAGAGGCGGAGAGGAAAGGAAGAAGAAAGAAGTAGAGAAAAAGAAAAGGAATCAAGAAAATGACTTTTTTTTAAATATGCTACTTGTGTGAAATAATGGGAAAGAGTACTCCAATAAGAGTCTTGACAGATATATTTATAATAGAAGAGTTGTCAAAATACAAAGTATTCCTAAATAGATATTAGGCGGATTTCTAAATAAATATTAGGCAGATTCCTAAATATATATTAGACTATTACACCCTCTCACACTGTGCGGGAGATACAATGCGCATATTGTCTTTTAAAAGATAAAATTGCAAACTAGAAAAACTCTTAATTAGTAAATATATCCGCCAGCAGAACATTAGGAGCCACATATTTGACAATAAGATCTCCATGAGCAAGTAGGTTGTTACTAGGACTTCCAAGAAACCAGATTAGGACCAAGAAATACAGCAAATATTGTCCATAATTTGGAGACCCATGAAGATACCTTGAGAAACAGCATCAGATGAAGTGGGCAGCGCAGAGGATCCCGTCCGACGGCCAACTGGCCAGCAGAAGATGATGGGATCATGTCAGGGTCATCAGAGAGAGTGGGATAGGCGTAGCACTCTGGAATAGTTGTGCGAGCGACCGAACCGGACTCGGCTAGAGAATTGACGTCTGCAGCAGCATGAGGCGAACTCAACGGCGCGCTGGAAGCAAGCACCGTGATCAGCGACGCGGAGAAGGTTAACTGCACGAACGTAGTCAGCAGCAGGCGGCGAACTCAACAACACGCTGGAAACAAGCACCGTGGTCAATGACGCGGAGAAGGTGATCTGCGCCATATCAGCCCTCACTCATCCTCAAAGGATCGGAGACTGTTGTAGATGAGACGGCAGTCAGTCCCGAGGTGGTGGCAGTTGTACTAGGGTTCATGGGAACTGAAAAAAAAAAGAAAAAAAATGTATCTAAAAACTTAGAGCTCTTGATACCATGTGAAATAATGGGAAAGGGTACTCCAACAGGGGTCCTGACAGATACATTTATAATAGAAGAGTTGCCAAAATACAAAGTATTCCTAAGTACATATTAGGCAAATTCCTAAATATATATTAGGCTATTAACTTGGATTAAGATGTATGCAAATATTTTGTTAAATGGAAGCAACCTTAGATGATAAAACTGATCACTTTTGTATTGTTCACGAGTTTAATTAGGTGGTTTTTAATTCCCGAGATTTTAGTTAACTTTTTTGTGTATACTTCCAGGTTGATTTGACAATTTTCATTAGAGTAAGTCCCTAAATAGGAGCAAACATATAGAAAGTGCAAAGATAGGAGTGAGTTTGTAGAATTAGCCAAATAGGAGTATTCTTTTAAGCTTGAAAAAGACTACCCCTGCCGGAGTTGCCGCCAGAGTTGCTCCCGGCCACCGGAATCCGCCAAAAATTTACATTTCAGTTCTGCCACCGCCGTTACTCCTGTCGTCGCCATCAATTAGGCCACTGCCGCCGCCTACCAACGGACCACCCCGCCATCAATGGCCTACCCCTCCACCAACGGACTGTCCCGGATTCCCAAGGAAACTAAGTGAGGAATTAATTCATTAGAATAAGGGTATATAGGTAAAAATAATTAGGTTTACTGCTATTTGAGAAAGATTATGATGAGTGAACACCTATTTGGTCAATTACTTTTAGGGAAAAATAATTAAAACACCCCAAACTTTGAAGGGTGTGAGATAAACACCCCAAACTTTCATATGTAATTTAAATACCCCAAACTTTATATAAAAAATTATTTTAACACCATGGTCATGTATGTATCATTTCAAAAATTTATGATGTGAATTGCATAATTTAAAATAGCAAATTGAAAACATTTCAATTTTACATAATTTAAAATAGCAAATTTAAAACATACTCTGTCTACGTACGTTGAATTGAATGCTCCTTATATTTATTCTCCAAATAAACGGATGTAAACTAGTTTACTACCTTCCCCACGTAAAATATTTTACATGATACCGTGTAAAATGTTTGCATCCCCACACTTTACACTCAGGGCTCGTTTGGTAGTTTGCACGCTAAATATTTGCACACAAAGTGATTGCATGCAAAGTATAGGGAAACAATCATTTTGCATGCAAACTAGATTACATTGTTTGGCTAGATGTGTAATTTATTTTTAAATTGCACGCAAAGTCGTTACATTGCTTCATAAAAGGCATGCAAAGTATTTTACCACCCCCCTCCACGTAGAGTACTTTACATGGTACAGTGCGAAATGTTTTAAAAAAGTGTCCTACAGTTTACATTAAATAATCAAACTAAACAGTGTAAACATTTTACATCCCTACACGGCTACACTTCGCATGCAAAGTAATTATTTTACATCATACCAAACGCCCCATCAAAGTAATTACTTTACATCATCATAAAAGGGCCCTTGCCTTTTCATTATTAAAATTCGTTTTCAAGTCATCTCTCCCTCTGCAAGACTGCAAGTACCGGGAACGGAGCCTCACTCTCTATCTGTCAGATTGTGATTATAGTCCAACTTACATCCTCCCATCATGCTCCCATCATGCTGTCCGGTTGATATTGGGGTCTGGGGGCCTCAGGGATGGGGTGTGATAATTAAAAAAAAGTCATCTCTCCCTCTTTTGGTATTCTTGCCAGTATGCAGCATAAGTGGTACTGTCCTAAGAAAGATTCCCTCATTCGTTTTTTCTACCATTATTCAAATGCTCCGTTTATTTTGCAGTCTCTTTTCTCTTGCTTATATCTCTTCTTTCCACCGCATTAGCTCCCAATGCCAGCTCGATTACCCTCTGTTTAACAATAGCTGGAAGAAGAGCTGGAAAACTGTATGTATGGTCTAAGCTACTCCTTCTCTAAGTTGTGATTTGAATGCTCCAGCCCTGAAGGAATCCTCAAACCTGTGATTCCCAAATACTGCCGAGTAAGATTTCTCACTGATCAGTGTTCATCATTAACTTCTTCAAAGTTAAGAGCTTTATTTAAACAATTTCGTTCTGCACTCTGGGTTTCTGGCGTTCTTGCTCCGTTTCATGGGCCTTTCACTCCGAAGTAAGATCATCCATTTCCTGTCTGACAAATAGGAGCATTTGGATTTTGATACATAAATTGTTCTGTTGTATATAAAAATGTTTAAAACCCTAGATCTGGTGTGATTTTAGACGTTGAAGTTCCAATCTTTAAACATTTTGAGTGTTTTGGTTATCAGGATTCTTTTGTGTTAGTTTTATGCTCTTATGAACCTGAGCATTTCTTTGTTAGTACATAAATCCGTACTTGAACCTCATGGGTTTTCGGTGTAGCCCGATGCAATCTCATTCGTTTTAAGTCTATGCTGGGTAAAACAAACTCATATAAGTGATAGAAGGCAGTTGTTAGCTACTGAGTACTAATAAGTTATACATGTGCATATAGAGTATAGGCTATAGCTTCGGAAGGATAGCTGATAATCTATTACGGTTCCATATTAGTGTTCAGCAAAAAGCCTTGTGTATGCAAAATGATTAGGTAATATGTCTTAGGAATAATTTTAGAAAGAGAAATATGCTTGAAAGGAGCTGTAAACGACCTTATTCGGAAAGCTACTCAAATAAGCTCGTGAAATAAGCCCAAACTTGTTTGAGAAGCTCATTTTGTAAAACTTCTAATTTTGCTTGTGGCGCATTGCTGATATATAGTAACAACTTCTATGTAAAAATCTATATTTCTATAAAGCTGCTTTCATATTCTAGTTATTGTTGGTAATGTACATTGTGCACTTTCTGCATATCAGGATAAAAACAAGCTCGTTTGAAGTGCAGCATTTTATCCCTCATTTCAGTCATTCAAATGGGATTTGGACAATAGTCGTAGGGAATGGAATGTGCAACGAGATCCTGTTTACAATCCAATGCCTGTAAATATAGGTCCATTGGAGTGTTTAGTTCTGAAAATCAACTTTCACTAAACAATGCCAAAAGTGAAGAAACTGAGGAAGCTGGATCTTATTCTGTTAAAGTTCGTCCTTTGCGGGTTGGGATTCACAGTGAAGTACATATCTACGGTCATCTTGTGATCTTGAAGTTATTCGAAGCAATTTCAGCTCTGAAATTAGCCTACATTAATCTCCAAAAAGCTCACATTCCTTACGAACCCGATAAATTTAGAGCAGCAGATGAGGCTTTTTCAACTCAGATGGTATCACTAAGCAAGATTAGAAGAGCATATGAGGAGAAGAAGCTAAAGTTACTGAAATCTGCAGAAACCCAGGTCCAGGAAAAGATATTAGATAAGCTGAAGAGCCTTGTCAAAGACAAAGAATCTAAGATTATCTCTCTACAGCAAGAACTTCATGATGTATATTCAAAGAACAAGAAACTGGCAAAGGAGCTTAAAAATGTCAAGGTTTTGAGCTTCTCTCACATTGAGAAAAAAGCCAAAGCAGCATCAATGGCAATACACGACTTTTCCAAACCATTGATTGCCTTAATGAAGGTTACAGGTTGGGATTTAGACGAAGCTGCCAACTCAATCCAACCCTCTGTTGTTTACTCCAATAGGTCCCACAAGAAACATGCTTTCGAAGCTTATATTTCCCAGAGAATGTTTCTTGGATTCACTTCCAGTTTTTCTGCATATTGCAGTGAAAAATATCTATCAATAGTTCATCCTGTGATGGAAGTGGCATTCTTTGGGAATTTAGACCATAATACTTTAGTGAGCAATGGATTCCATCCGGCAACATCATTTTATTCTTCATTCTGTAGAATGGCAAGATCGGTTTGGGAACTTCAATGTGACGTGGCTTATGTGGGAGCAACTTGTGAAATGTTTGGAGTCAAGAGGGGAAGTGAGTTTTCAAATGTTTATATGGAATCTGTGGAGGAGGTAAGTGAAGAAAGGAGCAAAGTTGGATTGATGGTCATGCCTGGTTTTCTATTGGATGATGGATCGATTATCAAATCTAGGGTCTATGTATAAAGAATCTGACTTTTTGTGTGAAAAGGATGCACTTGCTGTGTATGAATATTGATGATAGATATATTTAGGACCTAGTGATTGAATATATTATCACGTGTTTCTTTGAGGTATTGCTTTTCAATACGCTTATCTTGAAACTGAGCTGATGGCCACATTTTTCCACTGTAAATGTAAACATGCTGCTTCCTTAAATCTCTGCAGTAAATATGAAATGACTTGTAGAGCCTGAACTCCGAAGAGTTTGCGTTTTGTGATTTGGAGTGGATTTAGGGGTATGTTTGGATCCTTACAAGTGATCCTAACAAGTGCTGGGGGCATTACTCGGTATTTTCTTGAGTTTGATTTTGCCATGGAAAATATAAAGAACAATGAAACACTCATTAATAGTTCTTCAGCTTTTAAATGTTTAAATTTCCCAGTCTGTATAAATCAAAATACGGAGTATATAAATTAAAAAATTGAACTTGAAAAAAAGGTAGAAGTAAGTCACTGAGGCTTTGTTTGCAACTACTTCTGCTTAAATAAAAGCATTTTTAGGGAAAAAGTGATTAGTAGTAAAAGTTGGTAGTGTTTAGTAAAATAAGTGTTTTTTGTGTAATAGAAAAAGTAAAAAGTAGATTTTACACGAAAGCCGAGAAAGTAAAAGTTGATAGTGTTTGGTAAAATAAGTGTTTTTTCTTAAAAAAAAAGTTAAAAGTACTTTTTTTTAATGGGTTGCAAGCAAACCCTGAGTTTGAACATAAATCTGCAAATCTTTTATGAGTTTGGATCCTAAAGGAAAACTGAAAAGCCGAAAAAAAAGACTGGATGTCCAATATATGAGAGCATTTGGCAAAAACAGATTTAAATACCTTGCATATGAATTGATTTTTGTCATTTCCCATTTTACGAAAGTATCGAATGACCAAACATGTGGCATTGTATCAAAATATATATGCCTCAACAACAAAAACATTCTTCTTTAAAAAAAAAACAACAAAAACATTCAAAATAGAAGCATATGATAGTAAGAATGATGTAAGAATGATTTAAAATCATATCAGCTTTACCAAATTCTATACGAAACAAATTTAGTAGAACGGATCGAAAAAACAACTGAGACAATCTTAACGGAACGGAAGACATAGTATTGGTTTATTCCATGAAAAAATCTACACTATTCCAAAATTATTGTATCATGTTCATATGAATCAATTAAGATACCTTAGTTGAATCAGGGACGGATCCAGGATTCTAAGTCAAGGGGGCAGAATTTTTCGTTAGTGTAGGGGGTGAATTTTTTTTTTTGTTAGTGTAGCGGGGTGAAAATTTTTCCCTAGTATAGCGGGGCGAAATTTTTCGCTACTGTAGGGCTATGCGGCTATTTTTATTCAAAAAATGACATTAATACATGCACATCCCGAACGACATTTAAATCTATTACATTCTAAGTTTAGACGATGACAAAGACATCAACCAATACATTTTTAATAACTTCTACATTGTTTAACCTCATGAATCGGTTATTGAATTGTAATTTTTGTCCACCAAGGAGGGTGTTCGTGAGTCATGACTCATGAGAAGTTTTCATAATATTACAATAGTAGTATACTAGTATGTATGAGATTGTTATTTTTAGAATAATATGCACCACATACACACACATATATATGGCGCATATTATATTTTAATATTTTTATTAATTCTGTAATAATTTAGAGTTTATTATCCATGCAATAAATTATTTTTAGAAAGCAAGAAGTAAATGAATTATGTAATCTAGTCTATAAATATTTATATTTTGGATTCATTTCACGTGATCTAAAAATTGTGTAATTAGTGTGTCTAGTATTTAATATTGTTTGATATATGTTTTACGAAATCCAGTACTTGTTATCTAATAAAGATAATTAAACATTACAAAACTAGGAATTCTTATATAATAAGTATCCTAAATCTTAAATAACGAGTTACTCTATTGTTTATTTGTTTAAGTTATGTAAATTATTTTAGATATTTCTTCTTTTAAATCTCCAATTAAGTATTACATTATGTAAGACTATATATATATAGATTAATTTTGAAAATTAAATTATGAAATTTTTATGAAAATATTACATATATGGTAAAAAAAATTGAATGTCCAAGGGGTGGTCGCCCCCCCAAATCCATCCCTGAGTTGAATAATTTAAACATAAAAATGATTAATTAATGGCTTGAATCCATCGAATATAGACAATCAACTTATCCCAAATGGGAGGATTTATCAATGGGTGGGTCCCCAACCTGTCCAACGGCTCTAATGACCACACCATATAATCAAGCAGATTGATAAACTGGATCTCATCCCAGTAGGGGAACTGATTAAACAGTTCCCAACCTGTTTGGAACTGATTCTGCTTCTGCTTCTTTTTTAAAGGCAGAAGCAGAATCAAAATCAGTTTTCAGAAGTTGGTACCTCCCAGCTTCTAAAAAACTGATTCTGAGAATAAATTAGATCTCCAGAAGTGCTTCTGAAATTTCACCCAAACACTACAGCTTCTGCTTCTGCTCCCTGAAGCAGCAGAATCAATTTTGAGAATCAGATCCAAACACCCCTAAGTAGTAGTGGATTAACAGAAATCCACACAAATAATATCAAAATAATTAGGAAAAATTGATTGTAATAATCCCAACTATTAGCGGTCCGCTTAAAATAATCCCAACTATCGATTATTTCAGAATAATCCCAACTTTAGGGACCTTCCGCCAATAATAGTCCCTGTAAATAAATTCATGTAGTTTCTAAAGTGGATGAGAAGAGATATACCAAGTAATCCCAATAAATAATCCCAAATTTTAATTTTTTACGCTTAATTTCTATTTAAAAATCACTTTTATAGGAGGTAATATTTGGTCATGGACCATTATTGGCGGATGGTCCATATAGTTGGGATTATTAAAAAATAATCAATAGTTGGGATTATTATTAGCGGACGGGTAATAGTTGGGATTATTATTTTCAATTTTTCCAAATAATTAAACAAATAAAAGATCCATGACTAAAAAAGTCTTCCAGCTTGAGCTCCATGAAAACCCTGTGTGTAAAAGCACCTGTAACTGTCATTCACTCATCTCCACCTAATCTTTGAAGAAGAAAGGATTAAACAACTAAATTAATATTCTAATCATTGCGTGACAGACAAACATACGTGTGGTGGTCTGACAAATATGTAGCTCCTCGTACTAATGTAAGCAATGTACCATATCCTTAATTAATTCCAAATCCTATCTATGAATTCCACTATAAAATCCCTCCTGATTCTGCTTCTCATTCCATCTTCTCCTAAACTTTCCATCAATGGGCACTAATCACCATAACAGGTTTAGATTATCAGATATAATCCCAAATTCGTGGTTCTTTTACAAACCCAGCAGCAGGAATAAGAACACTACAAAAACAATAACAGCCCCCACGATTTATTCCCCAGAAAGTGACTACTGCTCTGCTTTCTCTGTTTCACCGAAGAGGAAGGCAGTATACTTGCCTTCTCGAGATCGAGGCCATTTCAAACCTGCAAAAGAGTTTAGAGAGCCGTATTATTATTCAAAGTCCAAGAATGGAAGAAAGAAGAGATCTTCAAGGGTAGTGGCGATGGAGAAGGCGTCGGCCGATCCGGAGAAGGATTTCAGAGAGTCGATGATGGAGATGATCCTTGAGAATGGGATGATGGAGGGGTCTGATCGGGAGCTGGAAGAACTTCTTGCTTGTTATCTTTCTTTGAACTCTCATGAATATCATCCTCTTATTGTCAAGGCATTTCAACAGATATGGGTAGACCTTCGACTTTAATTTTTTTGTTGTGGAACCTTGGACTTCATTTTGATAAGTAGTTTAGTACTACTCCATACCTATTCAAAAAAAATTTGCATTATTGTACAGTTTAAACTTTCAATATACTTAGACCATCTCCAATGATAAAATGTGCACGATGCACACGTGGCATGAGAAATAGCCACACAAATATTAGTAAATAAATTCTTTATCTCCTTATTTGAATAATTTTATACAGTTTTGGTATGTTTTTCTCTACAATTTCAAGGAGACCGTCTAGATGTTTACATTGTTGTTGACATTGCAGGGAAAAACTTACCAAAATTGTATAAAATCATTCAAATAAGGAGAGAGATAATTTATTTGCTAATATTTATGTGGCTATCACTCATGCCACATGTGCACCGTGCACATTATAGCATTGGAGATGCTCTCCGTATGTTTTTTAGAGTAGTCAATTACAACACAGATATACCAAGTATTACATAGTACTCTCAAGTTACCACTTACCATATAGTCATACTTTTTTCAATGCATCAATAAAAAAATTGGAATTGACTCGTTTAAATTTTAAACATAACTAAATGATATAATACATTCGTCTCGTAAAGAAATTCTCACTTTCCTTTTATGGATGTTCCAAAAAGAAGTTTTCATTTCCATAAAAGGAAACCACTTTTATTCCAAAAGTCACAACTACCCTTACTTTTTACCCACTTTTTGATTGATTTGACATAAATAAGGGTAAATATGGAAAGTCAAAACAAAACTCTACCTGACATAAATATGTGTGTAGGTCAAACTGAGAACTTGATTGCGGGACGGAGGGAGTAATTATTACTTGGACAGAGTATTTTGCACTTTCTTTTACGGTTCTCTCTTTCTCTAGTGAGAGAGGAACCCTAGCGACCGTTTCTCCTCTTTATAGGAGTTTAGTTTTTCCGCCGCCCCTATCAATATGGGATTGAAGCGGCAGATTATACTGATTTTAAGTGTTCTAACGTTTGCGATTGTGATAGATAGCGTGAAGAGCATGGGGTGGGACCGGGCTTGGGCCCACTTCCATGGGCCGGTTACAGGCTGTCTTTATGGTTTATTTATTATTATTAAGTTAATGTTATGTTTTGGTTTGTGCCTATTATTAGTAGAGTACTTAGTAGAGTTGGTATGAGCTTAATTAGGTTTTAATTAATTTGGGCTTGATTAGGGTTGCTTGTAGGAGGCTATTTATACCCTCGCAAGGGTTCATTCTTGTTATCTTGGAATAAAAGTTCGTTTAGCCTTTTGGATCTGGGCAACGGTATTTTTTTTAATCGTTGATTATCTGGGCAACTGTGACACCGCACCCGAACGTCCTTGAAAATTCGATTTAAAAATTCAAAAGTGATGTATTGAATTTCCGATTTCAAAACAATGGGAGAAACGATTAATATTTTACGAAGTACATGATTGAATATTGTATTGTTCAAACCCGCATTCTTTTGTAATTTTCATCATGTAAATTATTGGGATGAGCCTACACATATTGGAGATCAATAATGTGACTTTGGAAGTTGACTTGTTCTAAATAAATTAGGATGAGTACAAAAAGACATCTTTTGACAAAGATAAAACAATAGGGTCCATCTTTTCATTTTTTTGGAAGTATTGATAGATATTTTGGACCCCAAATCTATTGGGATCAATAGGGGTGCGTCCCATACACATTGACACCTGCAAGACAAAAGAAAATAAGTGTTAGGAGTAGGGATGGACGGATAAAAATGAAGGGGAGCTGCACAAGACATGAAGGACATCCAAGAGGGGCCACCTAGTCCATTTTCGCACAAAAAGATGGTGCTGGTTGTCTCCCTCCATGTGTGATGTTATACTTGACCAAATGAGGTGAGTGAGGTGTCCTTGGATAGCCTTTGAAGTCTATTATCTCAATTGAGTGGTCTTTGTTCGAGGAGAGAAGGCTTATCTTACAAAAATCGAGCTGGAACGAGCAGAGGTCTGTGAACTCGAGCTGTGAGAGTGCTGGGACTGTTTGGTCGATATCTCGAGTTTTACAAATCCAATTAAGGCGTGTGAGATACCCACAGAAAGCTCTCAAGACGAGGAATCCGTGAAGGTCTGGTTTGCAGGAATCGGAGTTGTGGAAGGCTTCCAAATCGTCCGAGAAAAACGCAACCTCGCAGGAGAGGATTTAATCCTCTAAAGTGAGTTTTAAACCCCAAAGCTTTACTTTTCATTCTCCAAATGATATGAACGATTGGTGAGACTATTATACACTAATCCAAGTGTATAATATGTCCTTATAAAGTTATTTTATTGATGTAAAGGTTAGATACTAACCTAGATGCAAATCTTGGAAAACTAGGAAACGAGTTAGCCGGAAAACACCCATTCTAGGGGCTGTTTTCGTACCAACGTTTAGGGGTTGAGCTAGCACCTTGAAGAGGCTGTTTAACACTCATATTTGAGCAAGGAATCAGTTCCAAATCCACCTTGACCGAAGCTTTAACCATTGAACCAAGAAGGGAAAGTTTAAAGCTCAATTGAGGTGAGGATTGACATCTAATTGCTTACAACTTGTAGGTTAAGCATGAGATTACCTAAATGCTTAAATCATGATTTTTCATGGATTATGATGATTATATATTGATGAAATATTGATATAGTTGCCAAGGAATGAAATTTGAAATGATTTGAGAAGGTACGAATAATATGAGATTAAATGAGTATAAATGAACTATTTTGTGAAAATGGGCATTTTGCTCATGTATGAATTATGTGGATACATAAATGAATATTTGTGTATTGAGATTGAATACTTAAGTTGCTGCTACATAATTATAAATATGTAGAGAATTACAAATAATGAGGATAATGGTATGATAACAATAATCTTAATAGTATTGAAATACTAGTTAGTGATTATTGGAACTTGTTGACCAAATTGATCCTAGGGATTGGATTGTATGAAAGGTACTTGAATATAGTTCAAGTGTATATAATAACTTAGTTTGGAACTAAGGTTAAGTTATGGGAAGTCTTTAAGGATGACCCAAGGTAGTTTAATGATATGTCAATTCTAGGCATAGGGTTGCTTGAGAATTGGACCTTAATGCATGGTGATGTAATAGAGCCGAGCTCTAGAATGCATGTAAGGTGTAGACTTGGAGTCTATGTATTGTATAGCTAGAGCCGAGCTCTAGGACTTGCGTGGTGATGTAATAGAGCCGAGCTCTAGAACGCAAGGCAAGGAAATTGACCCGAGGTATATGAATTGTATGGTGATGTAGTAGAGCCGAGCTCTAGAATACAATGTCATGTACTAGGGTTGGACTCTAGGAGTTGTCGTGGCTTATAGCCACGGGGTTGGGAATGGTGATTTCCAAATGAAAACGGGCCCACGGGCCGACTACTTGACTTTTATATAAAGTAAGTATATTTTTAAACGGGGTAACCTAGGGTTACCATCATAATGTACTATCACCCTATTTGAGGGTCTTGTGTTTGAAATACTTGTTGTATATCTATTAGATGCCTGCCACACCAGCACTTTATAGCCCTATAGAGTGCTGACCCCTTCGGGGGCGTCCCACCACCATTTTTCAGGTTGAGGCTAGAGCTTGCTTCCTGTGCTCGTTGCTCGAGAGATCATCTAGGAGCGAAGACTTGGTTCGTGCTTCCTCCATTCGGATTTTAAACATTAATAAACATGCTCATGGATATTTTAATATAGAGCCTGCGTGCTCATGAATAGCCCTGTGTGGCCCTTTTGTTTTAAACAATGTTTTCCGCTGCTTTATGAATTACTTATTATGTTGTTTATGGATGACTTGTGTGTGAATGATATTCATGACGCCTTGTATAATATGAATGTGTTGGACTGCGGTTGACTATTCGTATAGTACGGCGGGTTGTCGACGTGTCCGGGGAGGTCCGGGGCGTGACAATTAAGTTGGTATCAGAGCCTTAGTCCATAAACTTCATAATGAAGTCTCAAAATTCTCTTTTTGAAAAGATTTTGAAAACCATGAGCATAGAAGTTTTGTACTTGGAGAGCTTTTGGTACTTGGGTTGCAAGGTCTCTAATTGTTAAGATGGTACCCTTAGCAATTGGTATGGCGGTGACTCGAGCCAAGTGTGTCTTAAGTACCTATCCGTCAATTGACATTTGATACGAGTCTAATGACTCTTTCCAAATTTCTTTCAGAAATGGACCGTGGTGGCAGGATTACTAGGAGAAACCCGACGGGCCGTGTACCAGTGGAGACTGGACAGGGCAGTCGAAGGACCTCTAGGGCATCTAGAGGAGCTGGCCGTGGAGGCCGATCACAGACCGTGAGTGACGGTCATGTTGACACAGAAAGTGAAACCTACTGGTCCTATGAGGACTCGACTTACCAACCGGAGACCGAGCCGGTTGAGACCCCTTACGAAGGGGATGACGATGATGTAAGTGATGAAGAGGGGGAGAATGACTCCCTAGCAAGAATTGAGGCGCTGCTCCAACAATATCAACGGGAGCGCGAGGAAAGGAGGCAACGCCGAAGACGGCGAGCGGGGCAACCTTCGGGCATGGCTTCGAGAGGAGGAAGTCATGGTGCATCTAGAGTCCATGTGGAACCACATGGAGGCCAAAATGATGGAGGTCCAACCATAAGGATCTCCAAATTTATCAAAGAAGCAAGAGATTTGGGGTGCAAACCCTTTGATGGAGCAGGGGACATTTCAGTTGCAGCACAATGGATTAAGAGGCTAAATGAAGCAGCCCTTGACATGCAAATCGCGCCAAATCTCAAACTGAGAATTGCGGTAAGATTGCTCGAGGGGATGGCATCCAAGTGGTGGGATGGAACCAAGAGCAAGTACGGTGAGACCGTCGTTTGGGAGGACTTCCAACGGGAGTTCTTTGCCCAATATTATTCTGATTTTGAGGTGAACAAGAAGGTGAGGGAATACACCCTCCTGACCCAAGGAGGTAACATGACAGTGAAGGAACTTGAGTACAAGTTCCGGGATCTCGCCGACTACATACCGGAGTATGCTTGTGACGAGAACCGAATGGTAAACCACTTTTGGGATGCCCTTGACTTGGAGATACGTGATAGGGCAACACAATTGCCTAATATGACCTTCGCCCAAGTGGTTGACCAAGCGTTGAAGGGGGAGAAACAGTGGGAGGAGAGGAAGAAGAGAGACGCCGATGAGGCGAAAAAGAGAAAATGGGAGAGTCATGGCTCCCAAGGTTCCAACAAAAAGGGGAACCATGGAGGAGGATCTTTCCGGGCACCGCCGCCACCGTCTAGGGGGAATCAAGGCCCGAGTGGGCAAGGCTCGAGGTCACAAACCTCGGTGGTAACTCGTTGCAACAATTGCAAGAGGAACCACTCCGGTAAATGTCGCGACCCCCCTAGATGTTTTCAATGTGGGGATGCCGGGCATTTGAAGGCGCATTGCCCACAATTGGGTGGGACAAGGACATCGGGAACCGAGCAGTGGCCCGACGGGTACACGGAATCAAACCGGAGCTTCTCAAGCGAGCCGGGGACATGGGGGAGCGAGTGCGAGCAACGCGCCATCCGTGAATCAAGGAAGAACTCAAGCTAGAGTTTATGCGATGACGGAGGCGGATGCTCGAGCTAACCCGGACTCGGTTGCAGGTATTGCCTCTTGCACAATTGTATTTTGTCCATAGTTAATCCATAAATTGATGACATAAGTCATAGGGATTGAGTGCGAGCCATTACGGGGTCAAACGGCGAAATTCGGGCCAGAACTGACCAAAAAACAGGGACGCACGATCGTGCGTCCAACCCCACGCACGATCGTGCGTAGGGGGCAGTGGTTCCGGGTGATGTTCGCGCAGGACGCACGACCGTGCGTGCCGGTACGCACGCCGTGCGTGGACGCACGATCGTGCGTGTCCGGGTACGCACGACCGTGCGTAACCGGCAGTAGCCGGAAGCGAATTCTTCCATGCACGCACGACCGTGCGTGTCCCACGCACGACCGTGCGTGGACCCCAGCCGCCCGAAACCTACGTTTTTCATCTCGTTCTTCTACGATTGGACCCCCGTTTGATTCCGAACATTTATATGAACCTATTAACCTCCTAAAAAGTGTCCTAAACCATTAGGAAATGTATCTTACATGGTGTGTAAATGTAGGAACATTAAAGATTAATGGGAAGGATGCACGAATCCTTATCGATACCGGAGCGCAACGTTCGTTCGTGAGTGAGGCGTTCGCCGAGGACTTAGGGGTACAATCAATACCAATGACGCACACATTAGTGGTATCGACACCACTAGGGGATGACGTCGAAAGTACTAGTTGTTATCCATCTTGTGAGGTGGAAATTGATGGCCAAACCTTGACGTGTGATTTCGTACCGCTGAGTATGATGGAGTTCGATGCAATCCTAGGGATGGATTGGCTAGAAAAGCATCATGCTAGGGTAGATTGCTACACAAAGGTTTTGGAACTCGAAGGCAATAATGGGGACACCCTACGCTTCGAGGGGGATCGAGGTAAATCAAACAGCTGTATTATCTCCGCCGTGAGAGCGAGAAGTATGATGAGAAAGGGATGCCACGCATACCTAGCATACGTGGTTGACAAAACCAAGGAGGAAACGAACATTGACGACGTGAGGGTGGTTTGTAAGTACCCGGATGTCTTCCCTAAAGACCTACCGGGGCTTCCACCTGATAGGGAGATTGAATTTGTGATCGAGGTCGAGCCTGGTACCAAACCGATCTCCATACCGCCATACCGTATGGCACCCGCTGAACTTAACGAGTTGAAAACCCAATTGCAAGAGCTTTTGGATAATGGTTTCATTAGACCAAGCCACTCCCCGTGGGGAGCACCGGTTCTTTTTGTGAAAAAGAAAGACGGGACACTTCGAATGTGCATTGACTATCGTCAGCTGAACAAGGTCACAATCAAGAATAGGTATCCGTTGCCTAGGATTGATGACTTGTTTGATCAACTACGAGGAGCAACCGTGTTCTCGAAGATTGACTTGAGGTCGGGGTACCATCAATTGAAGATTAAGGAAGATGACATACCAAAGAGTGCTTTCCGCACAAGGTATGGGCATTTTGAATTCCTTGTTATGTCGTTTGGGCTAACAAACGCCCCGGCGGCATTCATGGACTTGATGAACCGAGTATTTCATAAATACTTGGACCGATTCGTGATTGTGTTCATAGATGACATCTTGATTTACTCAAAGAGTGAAGAAGAGCATGAAGAGCACTTGATACTTGTTCTTGAGACACTACGGGAGAAGCAACTTTATGCCAAATTTTCTAAATGTGAATTTTGGCTAAAGGAAATCGGCTTTCTCGGGCACGTGGTTTCGGGATCGGGAATTGCTGTTGATAACAAGAAGATAGAAGCCATTACTGAATGGGAGAGGCCAAAGAACGTCAAGGAAATTCGTAGTTTCCTTGGATTGGCAGGCTACTACAGAAAGTTCGTGGAGAAGTTCTCTGTTTTGGCATCGCCATTGACGAAGCTCACCCGTAAAGGAGCTAAGTTTGTATGGGATGACAAATGTGAGAAAGGGTTCATGGAACTAAAGAAGAGATTGACTGAGGCACCGGTACTTGCATTACCCAAACAAGGTGTGGGGTACGATGTCTATAGCGACGCGAGCATCCAAGGGCTTGGATGTGTACTGATGCAGAATGGGAGGGTAATTGCCTATGCTTCACGACAATTGAAGAAGCATGAGGTGAATTATCCTACTCATGATTTGGAGCTGGGGGCAGTGGTGTTTGCACTAAAGATATGGAGACATTATCTCTACGGGGAGACATGTCACATATACACTGATCACAAGAGCTTGAAGTACGTGTTTACTCAGAAAGAGCTAAACATGAGACAGAGACGGTGGATGGAGTTGATAAAAGACTACCATCTAGTGATAGAGTATCACCCCGGCAAGGCAAACGTGGTGGCAGATGCTTTGAGCCGGAAGAGCTCGTCTGGGGCATTGCTAGCTAATTTGAGGGCATTAAGGGCCCAACTGGAGGTATCTAGCGATGGTGCCTTATTGGCACGATTTGAGGTGAGACCTACTTTACTTGACGAGATCAAGAAGGGTCAGGAAACTGACGAAGAAATTATGAAGATCCGGGAACGCATGCAAGCGGGACCGGTGGAGGATTTCAGGGAAAGAGATGATGGTCTCTTATTATTTCGTGACCGAGTGTGTGTACCGGCAGATGACGAGCTCCGAAAGTCCATCTTAGAGGAAGCTCATTCATCGGCCTATGCCATGCACCCGGGGGGCACGAAGATGTACCGTGACCTGAAGGAGAGTTACTGGTGGTCAGGTATGAAGAGAGAAATAGCCGAATATATCAGTCGATGCCTTACTTGCCAACAAGTTAAGGCAGAACATCAGCATCCAGCAGGCTTGTTACAACCACTTTCCATTCCTGAATGGAAGTGGGAACATGTGACAATGGATTTCGTGGTAGGTTTACCACGGACAATTCGGAACTATGATGCAGTTTGGGTTGTTGTGGATAGGCTCACGAAGAGTGCACACTTCTTGCCTATCAACACTACCTACCCACTTGAGAGGTTAGCCAAATTGTATACGGATGAGATCGTGAGGCTGCATGGGGTCCCAGTGACCATTGTATCTGATAGAGACCCACGATTCACATCACGTTTTTGGCCGAAATTTCAGGAGTCTATGGGAACGAGGCTGAAGTTCAGTACTGCTTTCCACCCACAGACGGGTGGGCAGTCTGAAAGAGTCATACAGATCTTAGAAGACATGCTGAGGGCTTGTGCATTGGAGTTTCAAGGAAGTTGGGACAACCACTTAGCACTCGTGGAGTTTGCCTATAACAACAGTTATCAGGCAAGCATCGGCATGCCTCCATACGAGGCATTGTATGGGAGGAGGTGCCGTACACCGTTATGCTGGGATGAGGTTGGCATGGCCAAACTCGAGGGTACTGAGTTGGTTGAGGTCACCAAGTCAAAGGTGAAGTTGATTCGAGAGAGACTCAAGGCGGCTCAGGATAGGCAAAAGAGTTATGCAGATAAGCGACGAAGAACCTTAGAGTTTAAGGTTGATGACGAGGTATTCTTGAAAGTTTCTCCTTGGAAAGGGATCATTCGGTTCCAAACCCGAGGAAAACTTAACCCACGATATATAGGTCCATTCAGAATTATAGAGAGGATTGGGGCCGTTGCATATCGTCTACAGTTGACTCCTGAGTTAGAGAAGATACATAATGTGTTTCATGTATCCATGCTTAAGAAGTATGTGCATGATCCCTCTCACGTACTGGAGAAGCCACCGGTAGAGGTGCGTGAGGATTTGAACTACGCTGTTCAACCTATCAAGGTCACCGATAGAAAGGTGAAGAAGCTGAGGAGCAAAGAAGTCCCAATGGTTAAAGTCCTGTGGAAGAGCGATCGGGTCGAGGAAGAGACATGGGAAACAGAGGCTTTGATGAGGAAGCAGTATGCTTTCCTATTCGAGTAGAGCTGTGAATTTCGGGGACGAAATTCCTGTTAAGGGGGGGTGAACTTGTGACACCGCACCCGAACGTCCTTGAAAATTCGATTTAAAAATTCAAAAGTGATGTATTGAATTTCCGATTTCAAAACAATGGGAGAAACGATTAATATTTTACGAAGTACATGATTGAATATTGTATTGTTCAAACCCGCATTCTTTTGTAATTTTCATCATGTAAATTATTGGGATGAGCCTACACATATTGGAGATCAATAATGTGACTTTGGAAGTTGACTTGTTCTAAATAAATTAGGATGAGTACAAAAAGACATCTTTTGACAAAGATAAAACAATAGGGTCCATCTTTTCATTTTTTTGGAAGTATTGATAGATATTTTGGACCCCAAATCTATTGGGATCAATAGGGGTGCGTCCCATACACATTGACACCTGCAAGACAAAAGAAAATAAGTGTTAGGAGTAGGGATGGACGGATAAAAATGAAGGGGAGCTGCACAAGACATGAAGGACATCCAAGAGGGGCCACCTAGTCCATTTTCGCACAAAAAGATGGTGCTGGTTGTCTCCCTCCATGTGTGATGTTATACTTGACCAAATGAGGTGAGTGAGGTGTCCTTGGATAGCCTTTGAAGTCTATTATCTCAATTGAGTGGTCTTTGTTCGAGGAGAGAAGGCTTATCTTACAAAAATCGAGCTGGAACGAGCAGAGGTCTGTGAACTCGAGCTGTGAGAGTGCTGGGACTGTTTGGTCGATATCTCGAGTTTTACAAATCCAATTAAGGCGTGTGAGATACCCACAGAAAGCTCTCAAGACGAGGAATCCGTGAAGGTCTGGTTTGCAGGAATCGGAGTTGTGGAAGGCTTCCAAATCGTCCGAGAAAAACGCAACCTCGCAGGAGAGGATTTAATCCTCTAAAGTGAGTTTTAAACCCCAAAGCTTTACTTTTCATTCTCCAAATGATATGAACGATTGGTGAGACTATTATACACTAATCCAAGTGTATAATATGTCCTTATAAAGTTATTTTATTGATGTAAAGGTTAGATACTAACCTAGATGCAAATCTTGGAAAACTAGGAAACGAGTTAGCCGGAAAACACCCATTCTAGGGGCTGTTTTCGTACCAACGTTTAGGGGTTGAGCTAGCACCTTGAAGAGGCTGTTTAACACTCATATTTGAGCAAGGAATCAGTTCCAAATCCACCTTGACCGAAGCTTTAACCATTGAACCAAGAAGGGAAAGTTTAAAGCTCAATTGAGGTGAGGATTGACATCTAATTGCTTACAACTTGTAGGTTAAGCATGAGATTACCTAAATGCTTAAATCATGATTTTTCATGGATTATGATGATTATATATTGATGAAATATTGATATAGTTGCCAAGGAATGAAATTTGAAATGATTTGAGAAGGTACGAATAATATGAGATTAAATGAGTATAAATGAACTATTTTGTGAAAATGGGCATTTTGCTCATGTATGAATTATGTGGATACATAAATGAATATTTGTGTATTGAGATTGAATACTTAAGTTGCTGCTACATAATTATAAATATGTAGAGAATTACAAATAATGAGGATAATGGTATGATAACAATAATCTTAATAGTATTGAAATACTAGTTAGTGATTATTGGAACTTGTTGACCAAATTGATCCTAGGGATTGGATTGTATGAAAGGTACTTGAATATAGTTCAAGTGTATATAATAACTTAGTTTGGAACTAAGGTTAAGTTATGGGAAGTCTTTAAGGATGACCCAAGGTAGTTTAATGATATGTCAATTCTAGGCATAGGGTTGCTTGAGAATTGGACCTTAATGCATGGTGATGTAATAGAGCCGAGCTCTAGAATGCATGTAAGGTGTAGACTTGGAGTCTATGTATTGTATAGCTAGAGCCGAGCTCTAGGACTTGCGTGGTGATGTAATAGAGCCGAGCTCTAGAACGCAAGGCAAGGAAATTGACCCGAGGTATATGAATTGTATGGTGATGTAGTAGAGCCGAGCTCTAGAATACAATGTCATGTACTAGGGTTGGACTCTAGGAGTTGTCGTGGCTTATAGCCACGGGGTTGGGAATGGTGATTTCCAAATGAAAACGGGCCCACGGGCCGACTACTTGACTTTTATATAAAGTAAGTATATTTTTAAACGGGGTAACCTAGGGTTACCATCATAATGTACTATCACCCTATTTGAGGGTCTTGTGTTTGAAATACTTGTTGTATATCTATTAGATGCCTGCCACACCAGCACTTTATAGCCCTATAGAGTGCTGACCCCTTCGGGGGCGTCCCACCACCATTTTTCAGGTTGAGGCTAGAGCTTGCTTCCTGTGCTCGTTGCTCGAGAGATCATCTAGGAGCGAAGACTTGGTTCGTGCTTCCTCCATTCGGATTTTAAACATTAATAAACATGCTCATGGATATTTTAATATAGAGCCTGCGTGCTCATGAATAGCCCTGTGTGGCCCTTTTGTTTTAAACAATGTTTTCCGCTGCTTTATGAATTACTTATTATGTTGTTTATGGATGACTTGTGTGTGAATGATATTCATGACGCCTTGTATAATATGAATGTGTTGGACTGCGGTTGACTATTCGTATAGTACGGCGGGTTGTCGACGTGTCCGGGGAGGTCCGGGGCGTGACAGCAACGGTTCACCTCGTTGATTTTATTTTTCCGTTACACATCAATTGGTCCGACCTGCCAGATCTCGTCCCGCCGGAATGACGAGATCAAACACTGATCGTATAACGGAGATAGAAGCTGAGCAAGCCCTAATGAATGAGAAACTCGACGCGCATGAACGGAAGCTGGATGCGCAGGCCATTCAACTGTCAGAGATTACAGCGTCACTCGCTACACTCGCAAGGGCCATGACACTGTTGGAAGAAGAGTCGGCGTCAGTCGGCGATGCCGCATCTGCACACACGGTCGACAGAGGGTTGCGCAGCATAACAACCACTTTGCTGCCCTCGTTTGACGGAGAAGATCCCATTGAATGGGTGGCCAGAGCTGAGCAATAGTTTGACATCCATCAAACTCTACCTGGAAGCAAAGTGGCAGCAGCTACGGTAGCCATGAAAGGGGCTGCCCTGTACTGGTTGACCTGGTTGAAGGCACTGAAACCGGGCCTGACTTGGGAGGAATTCACAGATGCACTGGTGGCCCATTTTGATTCACGGTTCAAGGGCAACCGATTTGAATGGCTGTCTGGGGCCAAACAGTTGGGAACCATAGAAGAATACAATAACCTTTTTGTCACTACTACATTTTAAGGTCTAGTGTAACATTAAAATCGTAACATTTGTTTAAAGTGTTACAATAAATAAGCCTATTGTAATACTTTTGAATGTATCGTTACATTAGGTATTAGCATATGTAACACTTCTATTGTGTTAGGTGGAGTGTTACATTTCTTTCATAACTGTTACCTTTTACCGAACTAATGTAACACTATGAATATCTAGAAAAAAGAGTGCCAAAAACTAAAGGCCAAAGTTGCGGGCGATTAATTAAAAAGCCCTAAGGACACCAAAATTCTTCACCGCCTATCTGCGTTCTGCAAAACACTCCCCTTCACACTGCCTATATCAGCTAGCCGGAGACGGACGACTTGGAGCTGGAGGTGTTACGGATCGCGATGCACTCTTCTCGGGCTCACTATTCATCTGCTTCTTCCACATTTAATTTCACTATCTAAGCCAGGTAATTCCATCTTCTAGTATTCCAGAATCACATCTTCTAGTATTCCAGGGTTTTTCTCGTTTGTACTTTCCGTGGTTTGAGCCCAGCCTTTTTAATCTCGTTTATGTGGCGGTTTCTTAGATTTCTACGGTGTAACATGTGTGGTCGTCTCTTGCTGGCGTTTTCTCAGTATTCATTCATGAATTGTTTTATTAAAGTTGGTTTTAGAAATTCAAAGGCTATATATCAGAACTCCATCATTTGTTTATCTTCTGAATTGCAATATTGTTTTCCCTCTCTGCGTTTTAGGATCTTTGTAGATTATGTATGGGTTAATCAAGAATAAAAGATGATAAGAACAAGCAATGTTAGTTCTGCACGAAAGGTGTTTGAAGAAATGTCTAAACTAGAAAAGCAGGTATTTTATCTTCTTCATCTTTTCATGATTTTACCGATGATGCTATTGTGTTCCTTGCAACATTTTTATATGAAAAACAGATAATTTTCAGGCATTTTTCATGATTATTTTCATATTAAAGATAACAAATGTGTTTTGCCTTTGAATAGAATGAATATTATGATGCATCAATGGCCGGTTTTTTTTATTGCCACGTCTCATATTCTCAAATGGGAGAAAAACTTTGAGCACCTGTTATTGAAATCCAAAACATTAATAAGCTATTTTATCATATATAATTCCTCTGACCTGCCTTTCAGCGTTCATCCAGCTTGAAGCTAGTACTATGACTAAACAGGCCGAAAACATCATTGCATATTTGCATATTCGATTGACACATTCATTGTGCATGTGAGTTAGATACTAATTAGATCATGATTAATTTGAGAATGTATTGACATGTTAGTTATAACTTATAAGTACTAAAAGAATGAGGTTTTCTGGGCATTTGTATAAATTTAATAAAAGTGGAGAATTCAAAACAAAATACATTCTAATTTTCCAAGGACCTTCTTGTTCCATTTGGGTCCTTCTTTTACTGAATGTAGTTGGGTTTGTGATTTGCTAGAGATGAGTGGAAAACTAAATATGGTATTGATGGGAGTATCTCTATTTATAAGATTAATAGTCTCATATCTTTTGATAGTTTGATTGCTCTGTGAGATTTCTGAAGTGGGTAGATCATAGATGTGCAGATCGGCAAAGCAATATTGTTAAGGTATAAATTTGTTTCAACTAAACTGGAGCTCTTTACAATCAAACTAAGTGGGTAGATCATAGATGTGCGGATTTCTGAATATTTTCTCAAAAGAATCCTGTTGTGTAAGTTCAATAGTTTGTATTATTCAACTAAGGTTTACATTTAGAAGTAAATTAACCTACCGATCTTTGGTTGTTGAGACGTCATACATTCCACTTGAATGCAAACCCTTGATTAATAAATCTTTAGCGATTTAGAATATATCTTTGCCATGAAAGTTCAATTTCTTAACCATGATCCTAAGCATTATGTTTAGCTTTCAGATCTAGAGTTATTTTTTTGTAAGAATGTTCTTTTTCTATATTAGAATACTATTTCACAATTTCTAAATCTTTCCAAATAACTCTTTTTACTTTATAGTATTGCAGAGTTTTTTTTTGCTTTCAGAATGTTCTATTAATCTTCACATTAATATTTGAGAATGGTACATAGTACTTTGTATTTGTTTGACAGTTTAAGAACAATTGTGTACATTTTTTAATTACATCAGACGTTGGATAACTCCAATTCCAATCCGTGCCTACCCCTATACTGATGTAGAAGTTTATATATATAGATGCTAATGTTTTGAAATATTTGCTTTAATTTACAGACAAGAAATGCATGCACATGGAGAGGAAAAGAATGAAACCACATAATGGATGATCTCGCCTTACAAAACCAGTTGAGAAATGGGCATGGATGCCCCAAATTAAGAGCAGTTGATAAGGATTTAGGTGTTGATATGTACTCCATATTTTTGTAGTTGGCATGTAATGTTAGACTGGATAAATACCTGTATGCAATGTACTATAAATGTACCAAATTTGTTTTGATATTCGTTAGTTTATATAAAAGATTTGTTTTTAATATTATTTCTGATTTATGTACAAATCATTGACGAATTTGAAGTTATATCTCATATATAGAGTACATGCTATATTAAAATAAGTGTAATATTTTTTTACATATTTTTATCAAAGTGTTACATTTGCTCAAGTGAAAAATTGTTACATTTGTACTTGATTTGTGATAATGGGTTTGGTAACACTTTTGGTTTGTTTTCGAAAAGCGTTACAATTGATTTTAAAAATCGTTACATACTGTTACAATAAAGAAAAGGTAACGCGAGCGAATGTAACGGCACAAAACTGTTACATTTAATAAAATGTAACAGTTTTTTAGATCTAAAGTAACAAATTTGAGTGTTACAAAAGGCCTTTAAATGTAGTAGTGTGTGCAGTTGGCCAGCCAGGTTCTTGGGCCGTCCGATGATCATTATTTGGGGTATTTCATGAACGGGCTGAAGGGACCGATTCGGGGATCCTTACGATTGCTGCGGCCAAACAGCCTGGAGATAGCAATGGAATTGGCCAGAGATATTGAGGACAACTTGTTCTTTCAAGATGGAGACTGGGAAGGTCAACCCTACACCACGAACTTGCGTTCGGGTAGTTTTTCACGCCCAAATGGCAGTAACAGCACAACCATAAGTGGTGGCAACTTAAGAGGATCGAATGCCAGCTTTCCTAAAGACATTGGGCAGCCTCCCGGGACGAAGTTAGTGTTGTCTGGGCAGCCTATCACACGCTCTCAGTTCACTTGTCTTGCGCCAAAGGAGTTAGCATAATTGAGGGCGAAAGGATTATGCTTTAGGTGTAAGAGACCATTTACACCAGGGCATGACTGTCCCTTTAAGTAGTTGCGGGTAATGATAGCTGAGGAGGATGAAGAGTTGGGCCTCCAACAACATGAGTACCGTGAAATAACAGGCCAAGAAAGAGTTCAGGAACGAGATAAAGGATATTTTCCAGCCTATTGTATGGCTGAAAATTTCAGTCCCCAATCCGCAGGATTTCAACCTTGAGGACAAGATTAATTTGAAGGAGGGTGGATTGATACATAGCGGGAAGAGCATGGGGCGGAACCGGTCTTGGGCCCACTTTCGTGGGCTGGTTACGGGCTGTCGTTATGGTTTATTTATTATTAAGTTAATGTTATGTTTTGGTTTGGGCCTATTATTAGTAGAGTACTTAGTAGAGTTGGTATGGGCTTAATTAGGATTTAATTAATTTGGGCTTGATTAGGGTTGCTTGTAGGAGGCTATTTATACCCCTCGCCAGGGTTCATTCTTGTTATCTTGGAATAAAAGTTGGTTTAGCCTTTTGGCTCTGGGCAACAATAGTTTTTTATCGTTTTTTATCTAGAAAACGGTTCACCCCGTTGATTTTATTTTTCCGTTACACATCATATTGCAACTAGGTTAGAAGAGAGCGTTGGTGGATGAACGAGATGCGGTTGGGAGGTAGTATCAAGGCGGGATCGTGAAACATTGGTCGGCCATTCCGACAGTGGTGGATTTGGTATTCACCCATATTTTTAGAGCTTGTCCTCCTCCGAAACCACCTCCATACGTACCAGGAAGAGCGTTGCGGAAAAATTTTATTCCAGTATTATTTCCTCTTTAGTAGCACTTGTTTTTGTTTTAGTTCGAGTGGACCTGGTTTAAATGTCTAGATTATTGGAGTTGTTTTGATAGGCAGGATTTCGGTTCTGATCGTTTAAGGCCTAAATTCGTCCGTTTCAGGTTTAGCGAGTCATGTTGCTTTGTATGAGGTGGCTAACTCTAAGTCTACTCCTAGGGTTCAAACTAAGATTGGATTTGTAAATTTTGTGTGAAAGTTGTCTTGTATGTGTTCTCAATTTTAATATAACGGTCGCTCTTTTATGCTCAAAACAAAAATTATTACTTGGACCAATCAAATACATCTAGTGTACCTCCATTTTATGATTGCTATAGCAATCACTTTATATATATCCGTTATTATAGGGAATGTTGTATAAACCCTACTTTTTCAATTTTGATCTTTTTCCTACTTTTTATCTATATAGCTTTTTATTAACTACATATTTGGGAAGAGGACATTTTGTTTTGAGAAATCTTGTACTACGGTATAAATTTCTATTAGTATTATTATAACTAATTATTCTACTTGTGCGTTACACGGGAACGAATTACTATATGTATGGCGAGAACAACTAATATAAAATCCAATGTTCTAAAAGGCGCTAGGCGCTAGTCGAGCGCCAGCCCAGCGCCTAGGCAGCTAGGCGGGCGCCTAGTCAGGGACTAGTCGGAGATATAGAAATTGCAGTTTTATTTATATTTTTGCATAAATATGATAAGTAATATTGTATTTTTGTGTGTATAAAATACATATCTACACATACATTAATAAACATGAATGATAAAATTATGACATTTAATCATACGTAGTATATGATAACTAATAAGTAAACATCATTATGTTAGGTATATATACAAACATATATAGTCTTTATCTTAATTTACAACTTCATTTCTTTATATTCGGGGCTAAATTAAAAGTACTTATATCGCTTAGAAAATTAAAATTATAAAGTAAAGTAATGTTTGGCGAATCTAGATGACCGAGGTGGCTGATTAGGCGCTCTGGGCGGGCAGCTAGGCGCCATAGACGACCGACTAATTCACCTAAACGGCAAACTTGTTAGTTGGAGCGCCTAGGCGAAAATCGGGGCGCCCGACTACCACCTAGCGTCTAGGCGGGGACTAGTCGAACGCCTAGAACGATTTTTAGAATAGAGATAAAATCTATGCGCAACAAATGTGTAGTTTGGTCACTATTAACCGTTTGAAGATCAAATATGTTCAAAGAAACTAGCAGACTTATCACGAATGAGATACAATAAAGAGATACAAATGAGATCCAAATAGGTGCAAATTCTAACATTAATAGTGTGAAATAAGTGACCAGTTTATTCTTGATTGAATTAGAAAAGGATCACCCTCCATACAGAGTCTTTCCTGCACCAAGTAGTATAACTATAATGATAGTGTATCAATAAGCTAAAAGCATAAAATAAAATATGAAGTCATATTTAATAGAAAATTAAAAAAAATGGACAAAGTTAAATATAAACCATCATGTCATATAATAGGTGTGGATATTTGGTCATTGCACTTATATTCTCGAAGATCTTCACCAAGAAATTCTTAACCAAAATTCTTTTGAGGAGGTATATGAATTACTGTTTTGAAAAGGAATTCTTTTTTGTTTGGCAAAATGACAAACATCATATTGAATGATTTTATTAAAATGCCATAACCAATGGTTTGCAGTAGGAATGTAAAAAAAAAAACGACCCGCAGTGACCCGCCCTGGCCGAGACATTTGGGACGGGTCCGCCCCGTCTTCCAAATGGGGCGGGTCCGCCCCGCCCCGCCTATACAATGGGACAGGTCCGGGTATTAGTATTGACCTGTACGTGCTGCCCCGACCCGCCCGCTCAATACATAAGCATACATACTTTTTCTTAAATTATACTACAAATATACTTCAACATACATATGTGTGTATACAGTAAATCATAAATTCTTTGATCTTATAATATATTAATACATATATTAGATGAGATGAACGACGGATTATCAATGTCTTCTTTAAATATAGCATTTTAATACATATGTTCAATTATGTTTAATTAAATAGATTAATTATTCAAGTCTGAGAAATTTTTCCTTAGTTTTTGAAATTAAAAGGGTATCATGAATCTGATTTAATATATTAATTTTTAATTATTATTTAGAGATAAACATTATGTAGATTCTATTGGTAACAACTTCCCACAAATAAAAATACATACTAGCCAATTAGGTTACGGCGGTGCGGGGTGGGGCGGACCCGCCTCGCATGGGGCGGGTCATGGGTCAACAAGTTTGGACCCGTGCAGGTCACGGGACGAGTCCGCCCTGCCCCGCCCCGCCAAGGTCACGGGACGGGTCTGGGTCTTGCAGTACCCGCCCCGCCCCGACCCATTGCCATGCCTAGTTTGCAGAGGAGATATTGTTTCAGCATATAAATGGTTTTGCTTCTATGGAAATCCTGGAGAACGCCATTTTGTATAACAAAATTAGTTAATTAGCTCAAATTTTCATGTATAGTTAAACTAGAAACAAAAATTGGATTATAATTAAATCTAGAAACACATAATACGATTGATATAGATTTAGGAAAAATTTTGTATAGTTAAAAAATCATTTATTTAACATCTCCTATATGAGTGGTTTTGGTAAATTAAATTTTTCGGTAATTAGTTGTATATTTATTGATATTGTTACAAAATAGAAGAGGTTGTTGGTGTATGAATGTGTTAAGTGATTTTAGTGAGGTGTAGTGTAGAGGAAGTGTTTTAGAGTAGAGCTCTTGTCTCTAGAAAAGAAGTATTGTATTGATATTGCTTGGGTTTGCTTAGTGAGCAAATGAGTACAATGAGTCCTATTTATAGGAGCTAGAGGATCATTCTAGATCCTTATTAAATGCTATGATTCTAGAATATTCTACAACGTAACTTTGTCTAATTACTCTAGATTTTACATAAGAATTCTCTAGTAGAGAATTCTCTAGAATACTTCTAGCTTCAACTCTCTAGATCATTTCTAGCCTTTTCTACATAGAATATTCTAGATAAATGCATCACTATTTAATACTCCTCCTTGATGCATTTGTCGGTGACTCCAAGCATTCTTCGCAGAAACTGGAACCTGTCTATTGGCAGGGCCTTTGTGAAAATATCTGTCAATTGTTCTTCTGTTGGGCAGTACTTCATCTCAATATGCCTCTTTGCTTGGACATCTCTCAAGAAGTGATACTTGATATCGATGTGCTTAGTGCGATTGTGTTGAACTGGATTTTTAGCCATCGTAATAGCTGACTTGTTCTCGCAAAAGATCTCTGTCATCGAGCT